CGCCTGGAGCTGGGATAAAATTCCCTCCATGAAAACCCTGGACATCATCACCAACAATCCCAATGTCTCCTACTTCCTCAGATGAATCAACTACTTCTGCATCAGGATCCTGTTCACATCTTGCAACTACATAGCAAACAAAAAAAAAAAGAAAAAAATCAATAATAATAAAGGGGTTCATATTTCATTATGTGATCTATATCGTTTAACACACTCCAGGCAGAACCGAAGTATATTCTACCCCTGCGGGCATGGAGCGACAGAAGTCTTGAGAATTCAAGAGAAAATACGCAAAATAGTTCAAAATCTAAAACCCCGAATCAATACAAGACTTGAACAGAATTTTTGCAGTACAATGGGCAAGTGACAAATCAATCAAAAGGAGGACTGTACAATGCGGAGGGAGTTCAATAAATATATTATCGATTTTTCAAGTCAGCTCATCCATATTTCAACTGGTTATGTACCCGATTCCAGAAGGCCCACGAATCATCACATGCAGTAAAAAATCTCAAATCAGAAAGCTTCAAAATTTTAGAAAAATGTACCACAACACACAATCGCAAATCACAGAATATTAGGAAATGCTACCAAAAACAGATCACGGAAAATAAAAATCCACATGAATTCTGAATTAACAAACAGAACCCTAAACATAAACCAAAAACGACTTACAATGAGAGAAATTGAATACGATCTATATCATCAATTGAATCTAAAGGGTTTCTAGACATCCCATTGGTATAACAGCTCAAGGTGATTAGATCAACAAATTGTACTACAGAATTGAACTCAATGAAAACGGACAAATTGAGCGTTGAAAAACGGAACGGATCTGGATCTCAATTTCGATTATTACCTTGCAGCAATGATGAAGAAAAGAGCAGCAGTGTTAGGATACAAAAAACCCTAATTCCCATTTTCGTCTCTATTTCGTCGTTCTGCTATGCTCGTCCCCAACACAACAAATAGTAGATTAATGTCGTGAGTTGAGAGATACTAATGTTCGGATTGAACACAGACAATGGGAATATCATCATCATTTTTTTTTTTGGGGGGGCTAAAAGTCAAATTTTGATATTATTAATTATTATTATTATTATTAAATTAAGAGGAAATACTACGATCTCATTACGATACCATTTTGTCGGGTTTGTAATTGTTAGGTCAACTATCTTTGACGGTTAAATAATGATCTAATGGTTACAAACCCCGACGAAATAGTTTCGTAACGAGACCAAAGCATTTCCCGTGAGTATAAAACTCGTTCTGTGCTCGTTTTTGCTTTTGCACGTATATAGTATTATATTTATTCTACAAAAGTTAATTTGCAATCTCGCATTTATAGTCAAATTAGACAATTTTGTGAAATCCAATTTGCATTATATCATAAAAATACTTTGCAAAAAAAATAAAAAGACTTCAAATTTTCGTTTTGTCACTAACCCAAATTAAGTTGAGTTTCAATAAACTATGTTTGGCATTTCTAACCCAATATTATATGGGCAACTAATTTGGGCTGATAGTTTTATGGCTTGTTTTGGGAGTGTACGATGAGATAAATTGAGATACAATTGATGATAACTTGGTTGCTTCAAAGATAGGGCTACTCGAGCTCGAGACCTTAACGATTCGAGTTTTGCTTGTCTCATTAAGTAAATGAGCTCGAGCTCAACTCGTTTAACAATAATAATAAGCCAATCACGATCTTTAACGACCAAAACTATAAAAAAATCATATATAAGTTCTCTATTCCAGCCTTATTGAATCGAGTCGAGTCTAGCCAAGCTTGTTAACAAAACGAGCTTTAAATAAGCTTGAGATGAACTCGTTAATCGAACGAGTCGAACCGAACCCTGGTCTTAACAAGCCAAGTACAATCGAGCTTACGGGCGACTCGTTTCGTTCAACAACTCTATTCAAAGACATAGAAGCATGCAAAAATGACAACGTATTTAAAGAGAAAAGGATTTTAGGAATTTTGGGGCGAGGAGAACGAGAAATGTACGAACAATAATGGATGTCGAGTAAATGAAAAAAATCAACACTACCACTATTCATATAGAATGAAAAATGCAAATTATCGCATGGTAAAATTTATCGTGCCTTAATCAAATCTACCAAACATGATGTAACAAAAAAAAAGCCTCTTCCCCAAGCGTTTGTTCTGAGTCGGTTTTACAGCTAAATTCACTAGCATTCAAAAATTGTCTCCACAAGACGAAAAAAATGTAACAATCTCGTTCTTCCTGCTACAACAGTCGGGCAATATCCCCTACTTTTTCTATTCCTTCCTCTGAAGATCTACAAAATCTTCCACATAAATATTTTTAACGCGTAGGCTTACGAACAACTGTGTGAGCATGGTAATCTACTTCTTCTTCTTTAGTTTGGCCGAAGATTGAGTAGAGTAAGCAGTACCCTGAGTAATCATACCACATTGTAACAGAAATCAATACCCGAAAAAAATTATGAACATCTTTAACTTTAATAGCAGAGCCATGGATTTACCAAAAAAAAAAAAAAAAA